GATTAGGATCAAGGCATGTGCCATGCAGCCTTAATCCTGATTAACAAGGCTAGTAATGTTTAAAATAGATGTTTAGGGTAGGATATAGCAGGTTTAAAAATTAGGAAAATTGCAAATGCACTGATTAATATGAATCACTGCATATGCATGTAAATGTAAGATTAAATTTTGTTTATGTAAGGTAAGGTTACATTTATTGTATGTAAAAACTATATATAAGACTTCAATAATAAGAATTCGAATTGTAAAACATTAGTAAATGAAATTTATATCGAGAATTTAATGTGCGATGAAGTATAGCATACAATAAGTGTAATTTTGCCAGAAATATTGCCATGTGTGGTTCGTATTTATTATGTATGTACTTTATTGTATCGATATATGTATATGTAAAAAACTTGTAAAATTGTAACACACTCTGATAAATTGTAATACACCAGTAAAAGATATATTTTTTGAAAATGCAACTTTTCAGACACACATATATTTGTGTGCCGTCAAATCAATTTTAAATAATGTACTTATTTTATTTTTTGTACTTTGTAATGTAACTATATGTATATATGTAGCGTTTGTAAAAAAATAAAAGCAAATAGCAGCAAATGATGATAAAGGAGATGGTACCTGAGTACACTCTACGAATTCTGATGCTGCTCGCTTAAAAATATTCCTTTGTTAACACTTACGTGTATGTTGTGTGGGAAGTTGCAAATTTGTATATTTTCCATTCCTTTCTGTTCTGCTTCCTGAGTTTACAAATCGGCTATTTTAATTCTTGAAATAAATCAAATCGACGCACGCTCGTGACAGCTCGCGGTATTCACACACCTGTAGAAACGTGAAACATATATAGTAATTTTATATTACTAGCACAACACAGGCGCGCGTTGTCAGTGAACACAACCTGTCACCGCGATGACAGATAGTATATACGTCTTATAAACTATATAATACACATATGAGAAATGTCAGAAATAACGCATGAAAATCAAACTCAATGAACATATGTTACTCACAAACTCAATGTTACATATGTAAAACATACAAAAAAGTGAAAGAACATTGGTTTGATCTTTTGCATAGAATAATGATGACGTTATTGCACTTGACATGTACTACTTCTGATAAAAATTTTTACTTTTCTTCGTACGTTTCTGCGTTTACTGCATTGTATGTCACATGACACACATGTATTGTAACACATGTGTGTAAAAAAAAGAAGGTTAGATCTTACTCAATCGACGTGATTCAGAGAGTGCCGCAGGGTCGTGAGTACCAGGCGACAAGCAACAATCTCTATTAATGACTGCGTAATATTGCGAGAAAAAGAACCGTCTTAAATACGGGCTAAGCAGCGTGATGCACGAAATGTTTTGTGGTAAAAAAAAGACATTTATTTTTGTATTACATCAATTTAGAGAAACGCATTTAAGAAGATCCTATTGGACTTCTTAAATTTGGATTTTCCTGATCCCTTATTGTACTTTAATCGTAGAAAAGGATTTGGCAATTCATACAGCCAAAAAAAGATTAGTGTGCGCGAAAATTTCAATTTTATCGATAAAACAGACCCACTTTAGGATCCCTTTAAAGAAAGAAAAAACGTAGCATATAAGAAGAGATCTTTGTTACAAGGAATGGTTTACACATGTTTTCCTACTACCTTTGATTAAAGATTTGTCTTGTATTTATTAATTACTTTGAGACCGTAATTCTTTCTTTTTCATAGTAAGATAATTGTAAAACAATCATTGTTTTGTTATTTATGAAGAAACGATCACGTTTTTTTAGTCTAACTAATAACCATTATTCCATAAACAATACAAAAAAGACCGTTTGGTTTAACGCTTACGTCTAATTGGAAGCGTAATTAATAATAGAGTGACGTTGCTGTTTGCTCCTTCACTTGTGCGCAAAACCGAAGAATAAAAAAGTGATCTGAGTAACAGTCTGCCGTATGCAGTAAACATATTTCGCCCGCTCTTATTTGCATTTTAAATGAGACGAGATAAAACTGGCGCAAAATTACTGATTTTACGGTTTTACTTCTCGGATTGTAGTCAGCAGAAGCTTTGTCGGCAGACGTTCGGTAAACGCAACATATATGCGCGCTCGCTGTTTGTAATTATCTGCGCCTGGTTTCGCTAATTTATTTAACGCAAAACGCTTTATGCAATATATTTTATCTATTTTCATTACACATTTCCTCCGTTTTATTCCTCAACAACAAAATTACCTTGAAGACCGACAATCAGGTCAGTTTCTTACTGTTCTCGATCGAGTACATGAAATCAATTGTACCGCATCGCGGAAATTTGTAATAATTTTCCTTGTCTTGCTTGTTATGTGGTTTGCGTTTCTCCTTGAAGGAAAATTTCTATATCAAGATCTATATTTACGATCTTCCGGATTCTGCACGTGATAAAGAATCGTCACATCGCACACACGTGAGAGATGTCGCACACGATTTTTTATTCTGCACACGATTTTTAAGCGCACGACTCTGTTGCGTAACACCAACAGAGTTAATGCATCTTAGCATTTTCCCACGCGTTTGTTTGCATTGAGAGCTGATAAATAATTATCAGTTCACATTGCGATCGCATTGTTATCCTGCATAATATACGCACGAAACGTTTATAATTCACAATCAGAAGTGTGTAACGTCTCGTTAATTTCAAGGTTTTGCGAAGGAAAGTTCGAAGAAAATGTTGGTCGCAAAAAATAATATATATATAAAATAATATATACACACAAGATGCAGCAAAGCTGCAAAGCGATAACTAATCAACGTTACGCTTTTCTAAAAAAAAAAAATAACGAATTACATTACACATATGTCACGTAGAAATGTATAGTATTTACAACACAATTCTCATAGGATGTAACGACGTCAATGAAACAGGAAAATCATATTTAAGGAACCGTTGAAAAGTTTTGACGGATATAGCTAATCATTTCGGCGAAAGGAAATCACAGAATTGGGAATAACGGTTTGTATGTGAATAACAATGATCGAAAATAGCGACAGCACCGTTCAATGCATTTCCGGCACTTTTACAACACTTGAACTTCTTGTAACCTAACCCGTGCCACTTAAATTAGCAATGGAGTTCGAATTGCGAAAGTGTAAACTGTAGCGTCATCTTTTTTTCTCTTTTGTCTGCTTAATACATTATTATATTTTGTTCCTTTGCTGCGAAATCTTCATTAAAATTTGTCTAAACGCTACAAAACGTGTCGCGAGAGACATCGTAAATAAATAAATGAAAACAGCGAACATGTGTAATTCGCGCGTACTTGAACCGAGAGTATTGCGACCGGTACGTGAGACCGGCGCGCGCATTATCTGCCAATAAGATTAGCATTGTCTAAGCTAAGTCCCGACATGCAGGTTACTCATATACCTTTTTAAATGAAACCAAACGCGCACGGCATTGAAAATGTAATTCCACGTGTTCGGGACGAATAAATTGACTTAATTTTACGAGGTAAAATCTCTGTTACTTATCTCTCTGTTCCTACGCTTAATTTAAATCATCGCGAATGTAAGTCGTCACACTATCGTTTTTTGTTAAAACATTGGTAGCAACTGACAATTGAAGCACAAGCTTGTAATAAAATTTCATTACACTTGACTTGGACAAATCATCAAGAACATCTAAAAATCTTATGTGTTGCACTGTGTTGTGTCCCACAAGTAAGTGTCTATTATATAATATCCATCACGGGGAACGCATGTAGCAGCACATTATGTAAACGGAATATATCGTTATATACATATGTGCATGCTAGTGGCACCACGGCATGAAATATGTGCGAGATACACATGCACGTAAGAAACTTCGCCATAACAACTCAAGGTCTCGTAAACCAGCCTAGACGTATTTGCAAGCTACGTGCATTCCTACCTAATCCATCGTGAGACTATCCTCTCAAGCAGGTTGTTGGGCGCGGTTGTTTACGCTTTTTCATTGTTGAGCTCTGCCGTCACGTTACGGATAACCTGCGCGACCGCCGTTAAATCGCTAAAGACAGCGATCATGGAAGCGAGGTGGAACATGTAGTTCAAGATCAACTACCGCGCGTGAATACACGCGACGCGGGAAATGTTCGCACATATGTACGTACGCGTGTGTGAACCGATTCGTATCTGCGTTAACCTCACGCTTGTAACATACACGCGTATTCGTGAGATGCATAATGAATCAAAACGTATATATCATTAATAATTTACGGAATTAATTTCTAGGCCTGGCGCACGTTATTCGGGGCGACGACGTGTCTTAGCGTTGAGATTAACTCCTTGCCGGTGCGTCGTACGTACGTAAACGTCTAAGAGTTACAAAATTTTATTTACTTAGAAACAATATTATTTTTCAAAAAGTAACAATATCATTGTTTCTAAATTAAATAAAACTACAACAATAAAATTGTAACTTATAAATATTGTAGTTTTTTTTCCAGGATTTTTGTACAAGTATTACTGTAAGTTTCTAGTTTTGTTTTAACATAGCGTCACGGTTTTTCAGAAGCAAGAGACACGATTCGAGTCAGGAAGTAACACGTATCGTTATATATCTCGACAAAATGAAATATAATTACGCTACTAGGCTTGTATGAGTCACTTTGAACGTCACTTTGAAATTGCATGTGAGTTTTATAATTTGATGCTTTGCGGAAACTATTCATCGATGTTTCACAAGTATACGCCTTTCCGATTCATCTGTGTATGAGTCGTATGCATAAGTATTACTCTCGCGCGATTTCTGCGGTCGCTCGCTTCTTTGAACTTACATAATACATATATCATATGTGTATTACGTAGTTTGTGTGTGTTTCATTTAATAATTTCTCTTCACTTCAATCATTAATTTTACAGAGATTTAAACAAAACAATAATATAGCGATTTGATAAATAATAAAATATTTTCTCACACGTGTTTATTTATTCTTATCGTAGAGTTTAAAGACATCCGTCATCTGAGCAATTTTTATTACTCGCCGCTCCTTTACTCTTCTATTAGTCTTCGAAGACTTAAATGGCGGAGATGTAACGAGCAGACATGCGATGGACAATGGGCCTCTTTGAAAGAGATCGGCGAGTGACACTTGTCAACATAAAAGTCTCGTGATGTCACAATCAATAGCAGGTTTTGCATCTTTATTTCTTCGCAACTACAAATTTTATTTGCCTCTTCTATTGATCGAACGTAGTCAGTCACTGCAAGAAATATCTTGCTGTTTTTTTAATTATTATCTGTCTTTAGAAATGGATGTCTGTGGGTATATTTTGATCTGTGTATTTTTTAGTCTGTCTTCGGCTTTGTTTCGTATATTTAAAATTTATGATATACAGAATATTACAAACATAAGATTGAATTATAAATACTGACTACAGTCTTCTTCTGTGTTCTCCACTTTACTCCCACGATAAATCCGTCTAGGCAACAGCGACTCTGACAAACCAACGACACGAATGAGGTGTACACGAATCCCCCACTTCTTTTGCCACGGATGACCTCCCCGTGGTCGCGTTCGAACAGCTTCGCAGGGATAAATGTACACTTGACGTCGTCCACGAGGCTTTTAGCGTCGGCAGAACGACACCGTCACCCGTGTTAGTCGTGCTCGATCGGTGGAACGGAATTTTATACGACGACGACGACGACGAGTCGTTGAGTGTATTCGCGACTAATTTGTAATCAAGAATCGTACATCATTGTTATCAAAAATTGAAATCAATTTTTAAGACACATGGAGTTTGCCTTTAGTCGGACCAACGAGCTGTCGGACTACTTCAGCGGAAGTTCTGTAAGTCTTCGAAGTTTGGTTTTGTTTTTATTTGGTGATGATTGATCGTTTTTTTGCAGAGTGATTTAACTTTAGAAGAGAACGATAATTGATTTCATCTAAACAAAACACGTGATTTTATTTAACATAATTTTATTAAACATAACGTGATTTTTGTGTGCTGGACAAATATCTAGGTTTAATTAGTGAAAAATCAACGATATTGAAGATTTTGATAAAATTGGAGGAACTGTGCACATGTGTATGTGTGATTAAGACAGGAAACTACTGTAAACAAAAAATAATTGTGTTCATTCTAGTGATAAACATCGTCACAAATTAAGGACCATTTTAATTGTTTTGTCTTATATAAGATATTGGCGTGATGAGTTTGTCTCAGAATGATTATTCTGTCTATGACAAATTACATATGAGTCACGTAATACGCACATTTATACAATATAAAAAAAGACTTACGTTGAAGTAAATTTATGAATCACTTTTATTCATAAATTGGATCTTAATACGTGAGAATCAGGTCTTTTCTCTCTAAATGCACATAATAATACGATCGTGCTTTTACTTTTATATCATCATTTATAATTATGTATTTTACAAAGTTTACTCACATTTTGTGTCGAGAGTTAATAGAAACTTTAATGACTGTTTTATTTCTCCGGTTGCTAACATTAACGTTTAAAACCTTTACAAGAAGCAACAAGATTAATATTAACTTTTTTTTTTATTACCATTTGCAAGTTAAAAATACGCATAAAAGATATAGAAGCATGATTGTATATAAATCCAAGGTCATCGCATCTCGATCAATCACAAATGACCTACTACTGTGCACAAGCAGATACTTTTCCTGAGAGGAAGCACGTAACGCAAAGACGTAACACGTGACCGTGAGAGCAACAAATGAATTGCGCGTAAATGCTCCGCTCGTAACGTGATGGCGTGATTTGAGAGAAACAATGTGGTTACTATATTAACTCGTAACAGGTCCCATAATAATAAACGCGCGGTAATTTCACGAAGTTGTTTTCTACGTGGGGGTAAGGCCCATCATTTCACAAATCGTTTGTAATTGTTATCTTAGAGGAGAAAGCCGAGACACACACACACATTGTTCGTGTATCGTATATCTTAATTTATGCAATATCTTACGACGTGTTTGGTCGTAAGCTTTTTAAATAATCACTCAAATATATCAACTTTTTCTAGTGAAGATCGACGCGATAAGAGAGTTGTTGAGAATTTCGCGAGTCATGTAAAAGCCGATAAGCAAAACGTATTTAACGTAATTATCCGTGTGTGTATAGAACTAGGACACATAAATAATTGACACGTGCGCATGAGTCGAGTTTATTGACTCTGCCGAATATTTTACGAATAAGGGTAACTGACCCTATGAACGTCAAACTGTCACGCAATTCTGAACGGCCTTGCTTCGATAATTACTCCCGACTTGTTTCATTTTTAATAATAAAATATAAAATATTCAACATATAGTAATTTAACATATAGTAATTCTTACGCTCGAATAATAAAAAACCGAATAATAAAAAAAGTAAATTACGATGAATGTTTAGATAAAATGGACACTCGTGCTATACCTGGTATCAGCAGTTTTTGGTCAATTGGATTTGCCACCGTATACGAACGACAATGTTAACCAACGACGACTTCCTTTCAATGAAGTGGATTACCAGAATATCTTAGCTAGATTAGATTTCCTCGGAGCTGAAAGATGCAGTGCCAACGTGGCAGCTCAGTGGGCGTACGAAACTAATGTCAACGAATATACGCAGCTACAAGCGGTAAGATTTAAAAATTAAGTCTATCTTTCTGTGTATGTACTTCCGCGTTTTGAGAGCAGCCTGAAACCTGAGAAAATAAACCCTGATGAAAAAATTGTTCTCGAAAACGTCGGTGAATGAAAATGACACGAACGCGGTTCCAACTCGGAAAGCATACACAGAAATTCTCATACCGTAAAATCACTAAACATTATATTGAATCTAGCTTTACAAAAAATTATTATTATTTTTATTTTATTTTTTAAATATTATTATTTCTCTTTTATTATCGTTTGTATTGTCACGCACGTATTTAAAAATTTTCCCGTTAATCACGCGAATAAATTTCGAAACTTTTTGTGACCCGCATGCTTGTGTTCTCTATTTAAATTGTCTTACGAAATGTGACACTTTTAGTATTTTGTACAAACGACGTGATGCAATAAATTAATCTCGCTAACGTTATAACAAATTTGTGTTCATTAATAAAATGATGAGAAACAAACACACATACACACACACACACAGATTAAACACATTAAATTGAGAAACTACATCAAATTGCTAAGAACGTGCGAGTCTGTAGTTAGAAAAAAAGTTTAGAAAGGCTAAGTTTTCGACATTAAAACTATACATATAAGTCGACGACAACCGTGGAAAATAAGTCGCTTGACAATCGTATGCGTTTCTCATCCACTCTATGAAACATCTTTCAAGAGACCTCGACCTCCTCTCGGTATATCTTCCCGTGCAATTCTTCTGTTCGTATACACATCGACCTGCCCATCGTTTGGCGAATCGTGCACCGGCGATACTTTGTAGCTATCACGATCACGATTTTCCCTGACACAAGACAAGCCCGCATTGTCCGCGAAAGGACGAACGCCTCCGCGGGAAATATTCTCAGACGATGCTATTGTCGCGATAGTCATCCCGAACGATTTTGCAATCGCGTCGGCCGTCTCGTACCGACGCGAAACGGGAATTTTGTACTTTTCAATGCAAAATCTAATGAGACTCGCGTCGCGTGACGTTAATGATAATCGAGGTGCCGTTTTCCCTTTCTGTAATAGAGAACGTCGATATGTGCTACATCGTAGTTTTATAGATATTTATTATTCGTGTCGGAAGTAGTCGAAGTAATTAATTCTCTGCTTGAATTTTGCGTTAATTACTTGTAATTATACGCATAACTCAATGTTTTAATCAACGATTTATTTTTGAAAATAAAACAATGTAATTATAATATACTTTTTTCTTAATCAAAGAAATAATAATACGTTACTTGATGATTACGCGAACGTTTTTTGTACATCTAATAACATATCTGCGCTTAAAAAACATAACATACACGATAGGAATAAGAATATGTTATATAATTAGATACATATATATTTTTCTCCAGACTGAAAAGTATCTTACGTATACATAATGTACATGTACACAATACACCGACATACACTTTAATAAATATTTTTAATAATATTCTCGCGAGCGTGCACACACACACACTTCTAAATTACATATTCAAATAAAGAAAACCACATATGCAATTTCACTTTCTTTGCCACTTTTCTGTGAACACAATTCGCTTTCAGGAAGAGCACAGATACGGCTTTATCTCTAACGGTAAAACCGTCGTTTGTCGATTTGCGCTTTACTGCAACTGCGTTTCCCTAATCGGACGCAGATTATTTCCTCGGGTCATGTAATTACCGTAACGTAATATGATACAAGACTGTTCTGTCTACTTAAAAAAAAAACATTCTTGAAACATTTTTTATGTATAAAAGTTTTTTATTTATTGATACAGTAAGTTTTTATTTATCTATATAGTAGTTTTATTTATTTATATAGTAAGTCTTTAATAATATGTCAATTTGTTTTTGTAAACAATTGTCTAAGTTTCAATGTTTTTTTTCTAAAAACTTGCATATCTTAATATTTGTTGATGCCAACAAATTGTAGCTGGAAGCGCAACGAGCCTACGCGGATTTCCAATACCAAGCGTGGCTTCTGACCTCCAAGATCGATTTGTTTACCATTCAAGATCCTATAATCAGACGACGGATCCGTTATTTGTCTGTCGTGGGTCCTTCAGCATTGCCACCTGATCAACTAGACAGAGTAAGTAATAATGTGATTTACACATACACACACACACACACAGACACATCAAGCAATTTATAAATTGCACAAAATTGCAGCGTTTACATTATTATCAAACTAACTAACAGCACGTGTGCACAAAGTGTAAATTGTTAAAAGTAACGAGATTATTTCTTCGCAGTACAATCGACTGATCAACGACATGCTCGCGGTTTATAATGGAGCGACGATATGTGGTTACAACGATCCTTTCCGGTGTGGACTGCGTCTATATCCAGGTAATGTCATGCGAGAATTACGCACTGAACTTACGATCGAATCGATGCGATACCGCGCGCGTTCACGGTTCGCCGCGGCGAGATTGTACGGGAAATTTTACGTAAGTCCAAACTGCGCATGAAAGTGTGAAGAAGTGGAATACGTCACGCGCGTTCGCCGAGTAGAGTATCACCCTTTCTGTTAATTTATGAAAATTTCTATATGCCGCTGTATAAGTCTCTAATTGTCTATTATTTTGAGCTCAGCGTAAATCCTCGTATAACGTATAAATTCCATGCCCATTTAGACACAAAGTAAATACATAAAACACGATAGAAAGGTCTATGCTTCAAGTAGAAAGCGAATTAATTAATTGCGAAGACGCTTTACGCAGTTACAAATGCGGTACAATTTGGTTTCAGGAATTTAAAAAGGAAGAAAAAAATTGATAAATCTATGCAATTTGATGAAGGAATTTACGTTGTTAATATATAATCAAATAATAAAGTAGGATACAAGTTGGGAAGTTCACGACCGTGTTCTTGATAACGTTCGATGTCGCAAAATATGAGCTTTGTTTGCTCACTTTGATTTAATTGCCATCTTCTTGTTCGCATAGCGGGAGATCGCTTTATCGTGATTTTATTTCACAGACATATCACAAATCATGGCAAAGAGTCGAGATTGGGATGAGCTTCAATATGTCTGGACAGAATGGCGCAGACGGAGTGGCACACCAATTAAGGATCTGTATCAACAACTTGTTACATTAAACAATGATGCCGCAAGATTGAATAGTACGTTCATTTTGTATTACATTGCAAATTTAGAAAATATAAAAAGTATACATATTAATTAATTACTATCTTGTGTGAACTAATTAATATATACAATATTTATACAAATTAGTTTTGATTGTTTATTGTTTTTAGACTTTACCGATGCCGCCGAATACTGGATGTTCCCTTACGAGTCTCCTAATTTCCAGCAAGATATCGATGAGGCCTGGGAAACGATACGTCCCCTTTATGAAGAACTGCACGCATATGTTCGCAGAAAATTAAGAGAACTCTACGGTCCCGAAAGAATCGGTGGACACACGTCTCTTCCGTCTCACATTCTTGGTAAGAACAAGGGGCGAGGATATTTATAAAACATGTGTAATTGTGAAATATTCTGCAATCTGCGAAAAGTAAATTATATACTACGTAGTGAATTACATACACACACACGCACATAATTATGTGCAATAATATCATCGATTGTTATATTTGTTACAGGCAATATTTGGGGACAATCTTGGACTAATCTTCTGGATGTTACTTTACCGTATCCTGGAAAAATATATCCCGATGTCACGCAGGAAATGCAAGCTCAAGTAAGATCTCTTCATCTACTTTATATATTTGCATGATAGGAGTTTCACAGGCTTGTCAAATTTGATGTTTCTTTCGATCAACGTATATCGTATATTTATATTATTAAAAAGATTGCACGTTTACGTTAACTAAATAATTGCTGCCAACTATGTGTTACAGGGCTATACACCGATTGATATGATTCGAGTGGCTGAAGAATTTTATCTGTCCTTGAACCTGAGCGCTATGCCACCGGAATTTTGGGCCGGAAGTATAATCGCCGATCCTGGCGATCGACCGTTGATTTGTCAAGCTTCTGCGTGGGATTTTTGTAATCGCTTAGATTACAGGTTGATACAGTTATCAAACCGCACTGCGCGCAGTGTATATACGCACACATATCAGTTAGATATCAAATAGAGTCTCAACTTTTGGAAAAAAAAAGATAGTAAATGATATAAATATAAATAGAAAAAAATCTTTGTTGATTAAGTATCTTACAAATGTAAATAGTACACTTGATTTTTAATATCTAATATCTGCTTTTTTTACATAATTTTTATTTGTGTTCAGGATTAAAATGTGTACAAAGGTGACAATGAAGGATTTGATAACTTTGCATCACGAGATGGGACATATTCAATATTTCTTGCGATATAGCGGCTTACCACGCGAATTTCGTGACGGTGCAAATCCAGGTAATGAGAAACATATATGTAAATATGTAAATTTATTAGAACTAAATAATTAGCGATAAAAAAAAAGAACAAGCTGCATAAAAAAATCAATTGTTGCGTCAAAATAATCGAAACTAAATGCACAATAATAATAAAACTACACGCGCGAATGTTTATAATAAGTAAATAATAATTGCTTTATATAAAGATATTGCTACAATTTTAAAATACACGCGACACGCGAATATCGTTACTGGTTTTTTTTCTATCGCGGTGCAATAGCGAGCGCATTGGCGAGAAGTTGCATCACGCCAGGAAGAAAGCCGTGAACTAAAACAAAAGGATAGGAGATGGTTGGCGATGATGGCATACACGTCGGACAGACGACACGCGTTACGTAAGCGTACCGTTCGTTCCTTGGCCGACTTCCGGAAGGCACAGCCGACTTTATGCGCTTTTACGACTAATAGCGCGAAAGCGAGAGCGAGTGCGATACGCTCGAGGTGCACTCTAGGCGCTATTCGCGCACTGGCTGAGAAGTGGATGTTACTAGCGTACGTTGGCGTCTTGGATGTTAAAATATTTTTATTACGGTATAATCGACGCTTTCACCGTCTCAACGGCCTGTCCGGTCCGGTCGTTCGCCTCGCACCGGAACACGGATTGTTTCGAACGGAAACAACCTCACTACGACGTCCTTGCCGATATCGTTCAGTTATTTATTGACTATAACAGTTCGATCAGTTATTTATTGACTATAACAGTACGAATAGTATTATATTTTAGAAGTATTTTGGTTTTCACATTTAAAATTAGATATTATCTAATTTAAAATTAGATACCTATGCAAAAATAATTTTTAAAATCCCAATTTCTTTTATTTAAAATACGATACTATTCAAATTTTAGGTTTATGTTGTTATTATTTCAACAAAATAGACCGTAAATTTGAAATATGTTTTTTTCATATTTTTTTATATCTTTCTATATTTTTCTATACTTGTGTATATTTGAAGTGTTTATATTTACTGAAATTAATATTAGAGAGTTTCTACTTATGAAATTATAAATTCTCTCAATTAACTACCGGCACGCAATTTGCATTAGGAAATATGATGAAAGAGAAAATAATCAGCGTCATCTGCCACGCTCGACTTATCCCCACAAACTGTAATTACATCCTGGTTAGCGCTAAATCACATCACGCGCAAAAAGTCATTGGGCTATCCGCGACCGGAGAACCCCGAGAAACTTTGCAATAATCACGGAACTCGACGACAGGCCATCTGTCTGAACGTCAACTTTCACCGATTGATTATCAAACGACCTCTTTCAAAATATTTGCACACAACTCGTGTCGTCGTAAAATTTCAATGATTGATCTTGAATTATATGATTATTGAATTATTGCAACTCTCTTTACGCGTATGTCAGACATTTATAAAATAGAAAACAATTTTTATTTTGAACATCTTTTTGAATTAATTTCTTCCGCGCAACATCGATTATTTGACACGCACAATTATTATAAAAGTCTGTTACAAATATATTATCTGTGTTAACTTGTCAAAAATATAGTGACAGTAAAGTCTTAGTTGCTTATACAGTTATATAGTTATACGCTACGTAATATTACTATCATAATCAGGATTTCACGAGGCTGTCGGCGAGGCTGTCGCCTTGAGCGTCTCTACGCCGCGTCACCTTCAGACTCTCGGCTTGGCAAACAAATTCATCGACGAGCGCGCAGCGGATATCAATTATCTCTTTGCTTTGGCGATGGAAAAGCTGGTGATGCTGCCGTTCAGCATCACGATGGACAGGTGGCGATGGGACGTTTTCCGCGGTTACATCAACAGGGAGGAATACAATTGTCACTGGCACAGACTGAAGGAGCAATACACGGGCACGAAACCGCCGGTTCTGAGATCCGAGGATGACTTTGATCCAGGCGCGAAGTATCACATTCCAGCGAACATCCCATACATCCGGTAAGTACGTAATTGTTTTAATGCGTGTGTGTTTTCTGATTTTTTTTTTTTTTTTTGCATTTATGTCAACGATATTCTCGCCCTTGTAAGATTATTGCTTAATTACAAAATTAACGTTTAATCTTCCAATCTTAGAAAAAAATTCCACAAGGCAATCGTATAATTAAAATGAAATTATGTGGGAAAGAGCCATTGTAATAATAATAACGAAGAAAGTATGTATTGCTTTTGCAATACACGTGTTATCTGATTGCGCGTTAAATAACACACACATTCCGTGTGGGCACATGTTTATTACTTTAACAAGTCTATTTTGATTCGGTAGCGAAATAACATCTGCGCTTTATGTATATACTCGAAACGTTAACTTTCGTTAGTTTCCAATGCGCCCGAAGCGATTAATCTTGCTACAACAATTCTGCGTGCCTTATGCATAAGATCAGAAATCAAAAGTGAAATCGCCGATCTTGTGTGCTCTCGTCTTATAATTTGTTCATTGGTACATCAGCTAGAAGAGAAAGAGAAACGAAAGAAAATCCTTTCTCTCCCCGGCTATCGCTGTGCGTTGCACAGCCAGCACGTATCCGAATCGGTAATGTCTGGGATTCGCGCGTTAAATGATAGATCGCTCGAGGTAGAAACGTAACGTTGCCAGCTGATATCATCGTATCGGAAGTGTTACGCGTTCTTTCTTTCGTTAGTCATGCTAGATGAAAAGAAAGTCCCATTTTTTTTTTCCATCGAAAACGCGAGACTAATTACGCATACAAGGCTCTTACGGGGGCTAATTATTGGGCGAATTTCCGTGTAACAACACGTGATGTGGCCAAAATTGAAAGAATGGCTTTCGCCTCTGCTTTAGCTCGCTTCCTGTTTCTAAGCCGGAACCGAATACAATAAATACGTTCCGTCATAAATTCCGCTCGCTCGGAGCGAATGGCGCACACGCAATCGGAAATAAATAACCCGTTACGCTGTTACGAAGTTCAAGGATATTGACGCCAGTAAAAAATGTATTAAAAATGTCAAATCATTTCTAATTGATCATTTATTAATTAAAAACCCTTATCTTTAATGATAAGAAAATAACTTAACATCCAGTTTTTGATTTGTTTTGGTTCTAATGTCTTAAGTGTTCGTTCGAATAAAACAAGTATGAGAGTTTTACATATCGAATGTGTCTTAAAACATTTATTGAAATATATATACATGTGAGAAAAAAATAAAATCATTCTGAGGATCTTGTTTTCGGAACGGAAATGATTAGGATAAATATCAAGGCTGTTTTTTTTTTTTTGCTCTTTGGTTTTATTAAAAAGAAGCGAAAAAATATCATATAAAGACGTTTATTACATGTTGTACAAACATTGTAAAAAAATTATAATATAACATGTGTTCGTAGGTACTTAAGTGTCTATATCTAAGAAATATCGTTAGCGCTGTTCGCGCGGATCACGCGGTACTCGTACTTCGTCTTTCGTCGGGCTGCGTTCTGCAAATTCATCTTTCTCATCCGGTTATAATCGGTGAGAGAGAACGATTCCTTTTATGTTAGGAAAAATAAATACGTCCGCGTTTGCTTCGCGGACACGCAATTCAAACGGATGATAAACTGGCATTCGCGAGTGCTCGTCGCGCGCCCATGAAGAAAACGCTTCGTTAGTGCTTTCGAAATGAAAAATCAGCCGTTAAACGCGTTGCAAAAATTATGTTGGTTTTCTCTCTGATGATGTGTGTTCGAAATCATGGAACAAGAATCATCGTGATATTTCGTAGCAGGTACCAATGTGTCCGCTCGTACGATATAGTGGAGGAGAGAGATAAAGAGAGAGAGAGAGAGAGAGAGACTTGTACAAATTAGATTTTACATGTAAATTGTTTTATCTCATTTAGATATGTACAAATTTTTAATTGCCAATTAATAATTAACTACAATTTTCTCTCATATTCTCGAATATATACATTAATCAAAATGTGTATCGACAAATTTTCTTTTGTTTTAACATGTATCTTTCTGATACATTTCTCTTCATCTCTGACTTATTCGTTCGGGGGGTCGAAAATCCTCCACTACCGCACTTTGGTTACTAATATCCCGAGTGACCCCCGTAGCTGTGACCCCCGTAGCTGTGACCCCCGTAGCTGGACTCGTAATCACCTCCGGAACCGGATTCGTAATGATGGTCGTGCACTGGTACCGCATACGGAACTTTTACGGGATAGGGTACCGCCTTGGGAACCGTCACAGGCACCGGCTTGTTCACAGTAACCGGTACGGGTCGTTCAACAGGCACTTTTACGGCGTAAGGCACCGGCTTCTCTACCGGATACGGCACCGGCTTTTCCACCGGATACGGCGCCGGTACTGGTACTTTAACGTGTACGGGCACCGGTTTTTCCACTGGCACTGCTACAGGTCGTTCCACATGTACCTTAACCGGATAAGGTACCTTCTTCTCTACTGGATAAGGTACCGGTTTTTCAACGGGTACAGGATACGGCTTGGATATGTGCACCGGATACGGTCGTTCAACGGGTACTGTTACCGGATACGGCACCGGTTTCTCGACCGGGAAAGGTTGCGGCACATGCTCCGGAACCTTTACAGTATACGGCACAGGTTTTTCTACTGGGAACGGCTGCGGCACTGGCACTTTTACAGGATAGGGAACCTTCTTCTCGACCGGATACGGTTGAGGAATGTATACTTTGTAGGGCACCGGTCTTTCAACCGGCACGTGAACCGGATACGGCACCTTCTTCTCGACTGGATACGGTTGCGGTATATGAATCGGTACCTTCACCAAAACTTTTACCGGTACCGGTATTTTCTTCTCGATCGGGTATGGTTGCGGTACCGGAACTTTAACCGGGTATGGAATTTCCTTCTCCACCGGGTAGTGAACTTTCTTCTCGACCGGATAAGGTACCTTCTCGGTCTTTACGATAGTGATCTGTTTGACCTTGCCACCGTCGTCACCTCCGCCATAACCACCTCCGCCATAACCACCTCCGCCATAACCACCACCGCCATAACCACCACCGCCATAACCACCACCGCCGTAACCACCATCGCCGTGACCACCATCGTAACCACCACCGTCATGACCGCCAATGTCACCGCCGCCGATGTCGTGACCGCCGATGTCGTGGCCGCCGTCGAAGCCGCCGCCATCACCACCACCGCCGTAACCGCCATCGTCGTGTCCTCCATAATCTCCTTCGATGTGACTCAGTCCTCGCTTGTCTTGTTTCTTCTCCGTGCCTTCTTTAGCATTTTCTTGTGGCACGATCTTCTTAGATGTGGACTCCTTTTCTTTCTCAGACACGGCCAAGGCCAGCAGCCCCGCTAGTAGCGTGAGAAACTATAATCGAGCGAAACGATTATTATGAATTGCTTGCACATCAACGCGCTCCATCACTTAGAACGTAAAAAATATTACGCGCGGCTTTAAATTAACGCTCGTACAGATCTTGGATAATATTAAACAGAAAAGATTATGCAAAATATGCAAGAGCAATCTTGAACAATTAATAGTTCTTATTGCGATCTATCGCGATCTGGAAAGTAATATTGATAGAATATAAAAATTGTAAAAATTATGAGAAGTATCTAGACTATATTTTAATTGTCATTACTATTAAGTGTTTATTTAATTTCAAATTTTATTTTATTTAACATATAATTTATATAAAGTGTACAAATGACTTTCCAAGATGTCTGGAAGAAAAGCAAATGGTGCAAAGTAGGAAGTTAGCAATTTTATGCCGAATTTAAATGCAACTAATTTCATTTATCACGTAAATGTGCGAGCTGAGACTTACCAAAATTCTCATGTCTACACTAAGTGTGTTTCACACGATCTGATCAAAGTCCAGACTTTACTGGATGTTTCCCCCCAAGGTGCCACAGTCTTTATAGACCGCTTTCCCCCAACGCGTACGCGAGCGAGCCCCTCTGCACTCCCGAGGAAAAGTGAAACACACGCGTCTGCCGTTCGACCGACGCGGCGACGTACACAGCGTTATAGCAGTTTTTTTTTTTTCATAAATTCTAGGCACATACAAGCGACGGTGCTTCCATAATCCCAACGGCGTAGCTACTGTGGAAAACTGCGGAACACCGGAACTTCCGGCAATATTCAAAAAATTCGAGCTATAGAAAGCATATTTCTCACGAGCAAAAACGTGTATTACAACCAACACGGTTATAAAAGTTAATTACGGCGTTAAATGTACTTTTACAAATTCAAGTCATTTCATTAACGCAGTAGGTACTGGCAAAACGAAAATGTCGTGTCAAAATCTGAAAAAAAAAAAACGAATATTAAATATTTATAAAAAAAGAAGGTAATTGTCTCAATCTTCAGAAAATAGTTACGTGTCTTGACTTTGCATTTTGACGTTAAATAACATACGCGTTCTTTCGGCATTGATGTCTTTTTTTTTCAATTGTATATTCATCTACGCTACTAGACACGTGGATACATACATCTCTTATACTATTATTTCTCTTCTTATCTCAACCAATCGACGAACTTTCCCTCCGTGTTGTTTTCCATCTCGCGCAAGTTTCTTCTCGCTTAGATGCACCTACACCGTCAGGACACTCCTGAGTGTCCCCTCACGGAAGAACGCATGTGTGAGATACGGTTGCAGACAAGCAAACTGCGAGTTCTCTCGACCGAGACGAGAAGCACGACGACGAACGCATATAACGGTCTTACCTGCGGTCCGAGGGAGATCGCGAGAGGAAGAACTAGGAAGTAAGAGACGAGAAAAAGTGAAAAGAGACGGTGGAAGAGTGACGGTGTGTGTTGCGGCGCGAAGAAAAGATATGTATATTCTAGAACATTGCACGCCAATGTGAGAGATTGACCGTTAATGCGCTGTTTACTACAAGTGCCGTACAATAGATCTCGTGATGATTTGCTTCGGTTAGAAAATACACTACAGACAATAAATTTTATTTAGTAATAATGAAAGAGAGAGAAGAAGAGAGAGATAACAGAGCAGATGGAACAACATCTGAAAGCATACAGCAATAAAGAGCATAATAATAATTAAGTTCGAGTGGGTTGCAATGTAAAATTGAACATTTTGTGTACTGCGCAGTTATTGCGCTTAAATATGTAGCCGGTTTAATTACCGGTTGTAGTTGGAAAAAGTACTAAAAGGTTATTGCCCGTAATAATGAAAGAAATGGCAAAGAGAAAGAACGAAGTAGTTTTGAACAACCAGACGAAGTAATTACAACATTGTTTTCTCTAAGTGAAGAGATTTGAAATTGTGCTGAGAAAATTGCTAAAATTATTTTTATTTTTAAAAACACAAAACTTGTTTGCAAAGAAACCGAAAACTACGCGCATAAAGAAATGAGACAATTTGTCATGACATAAGAAACATTCTGCTCGAGACTTAATGCTGAAAAATTATTTACATAAAAAAAACACACACAGTCATGCTTGCTAATTTTTTATTCTTAACTTGCATTTAGAAACACGTCATCTGTGATGGTAACGTGTGAAAAAGCAAAACGCAGTGAGCGAAACTAATTATCGTTGAAGAACAAAAGAACGAATGTTTAGATGTTACGGCTTTTAAAATTAGGGCAGTTGATTGAAGTTGAATTCTTGATGAGATTTTAATATATTAAATTAATTGCATTTTTATCAACTGTGTAATGTACGCACACACGTGTCAACGAATATTTAAAAAAAAAAAAAAATGAAAACAAATATTAATAAAATAAAATATGCGCGTGACAGCACAGTTCGAATATAATTGAACTTAGTCATGTTGACAGTAATAATATTTTAACATACGCGTGTGTGTGAGAGCTGTAGTCATTACATTACACAAGAAATGATTTTTATTACACAACGCGAAGCTAATGTGACTTCCTTCATTTTGATTATACGAGAGATAATTTTTATATTATTTTCTAGAAATGCGCCGTCGCGCGCGCGTTGTTAATAAGAGAAACGCAAAATTTGACGCAGGTGTTATAGCAAAAACAATGCGCGCGAATCAATTAGTGTGAAGTTATTTACGACTTTTAAGTAACTAACGATATATAAGTATTCTGTACAGGAATAAAATTAGTTTTTTTTTCAGTTTTATAATTGCTCTTTTACACAGATGTAAGGAAGTAACGACTAATTAGAAAAGTAATTGTAGGAATTCTGTTTCTTGAGTTTATTTGTACGTATAGCTTCACGATGATGTTCAATCGATAAACGCACACATGCACGTTCTGTTTCATAAGTTGGATGAAGAGATTTATTGTGTTACGTTATTAAAAAATACAATTATTTAATTTAAATTATTCTAACTTAATGATAGAATCTAATTTAGTAATTAGACATCCGACTTTCTAAAATTCGTACATTTTTAAAAAATCGTTAATTAAACTATACACAAATATAACACGCAAAAAAATAGATATATCTAAAACTTTATTTAAACACACCAATTCAATCTTCGCAGTAACATTATTAGCAATAATTGATAGACAAAGTAATAACACTATGATTAATTTAACTAACATTCTCATATTGTACAGATATTTTCTACTTTTTTGAAGTACACAAAAATCGTACTAGTCATAATTTCGTACAAAATCGACTTTGTAAAAACTTTTATTAATACTTTGTATATCCACAAACACTGTCGCTCGAGCGACTCGTTGAGTAATCATCGTGGTCGTCGCCATTTAGTCTCGACGCTTTCGCTCTCCGCTAGATCTTCCTTGTCCTTGATGTTACCTTGATTTTTCCAACCGAGCTTGACAGGAATCGGCACTTGTACGACATACGGAAACGGTTTCTTCACCGGCACGAGTACCGGTTTTGTCTCGTACACCTGGTACGGTTTGTCTACGGGTACTCTAAGTGGTACAGGATAAGGCTTCAATATTTCGACAGGCACTTGTTCTTCCACAGTATACGGTTGAGGATCTGGAACTTCGACAGGCACCGGAACTGGCCTCTTTACAGGCACTGCGTACGGTTTTTCCACAGGTACTTTGATTTTTACCGGATACGGCTTAGGAACTTCCACCGGATACGGTTTGGCAACCTCTACCGAATACGGTTTCGGCACCGGTACCGGATATGGTCGATCGACGGTGACCTCTACTGGTACTGGCACTTTTTTCTTTACCTCGTACGGAGTCGGTATCTTGACCGGTACTTTGACCTCGTAAGGTACGGTCTTGTCGACGATGTACGGCTGTGGTACCGGCACCTTTACTTCTACCGGAATCTTTTTCTCGACTGTGTACGGTTGCGGAACTGGCACCTCGACCTTGTACGGTACCGGATTGTCGACCTTCACCTCGTAAGGAACTTGCTTCTCTATGTGGAAAGGCTCCAATACCTCGATCGGCACGTTTACGTAGACCTTTACCGGATAAGGCACTTTCCTTTCTATCACATAAGGTTGCGGCACGGGAATTTTGACTTCGTACGGGACATGTTTATAGACTGTATATGGGATTTTCTTTTCGACCGTTACAGGTACCGGTACCTTTTTCTCTATGGTCACGACCTTCTCCTTCGATTTTTCCGAGCTGGTGTCTTCTTCAGACCAGTAGCTTCTCGGAAATCTTTTCCAGATGTCCGACGTGTCCTTGAAATCGAGTTTGCTGGACCACGAGCGAAACCGGATGTTTCTCGAGTCTCGAGGCGCGAATCTCGAACCGCGTGAATACATGCTCCAATCGTCAGCATCTTCTTCCGGTTCCACCTTGTCATCTACCGACGCGTATCTGCCGCTATAATCGTCGTAATCTTTTTTCTCTTTGCGCGGATCTTTTCTAACGTTGGAATAAGACTCGCGAACGATTTTCGATTCTGTCGTAGTATTTCCGCTCTCGAGGGCCTTTTCCACCGCTCTCTCGGCCGCCCTTTCGGCGGCTTTTTCCACTGCGAGCTCTGCAGCTCTCTCGAGCTCTTCTTTACGACTGGCGGATGATGTAAGAGCGATTCCGAGACACAGAAATGCTATTAGGCATTGCTGTTTAAAGAGACACAGTATTACACTATGTATAACATCGCGAGAAGCAACTGTTGTTACATAATTGTTTTTTCAATCGGATAGAATTTATTTGTAAAAACTGAATTTTTCTTTTATATCTAATTTATACAACGTCAGCATTAACATGTTTAATAGTCTTTTTTGCATTTCTTGCATCTTTGCCGATTTGCGTTCCCGGACATATAAGATGTTTTGATACGATGCGGATCGCGGAAAGTTCGTATTTAATTTATGTAAATTTTGATATTTTTCACTACAACAAAGTTAATATAATGGGAGTCAAAATACTTACTTGGTAACCCATGATATCTCTGCGATCAAGACGATAGATCAATCTGCACTGAACGGAAAAGTATCCCACTATTATTTATATACCGTGAACGACTTTCGCCGGTATAACCAGCTGGACCTTTATAGCCTTGCACAGTACCTTATTCGTAACAATTATCTACGCTTAAATGATCATCATTGTTTTGCGGCCTAGCCGTGAATACTTCGTCAGGAATGAACCATACTACCTGTTTTAAAACCGAGGCAAAACATGAGCAACGCATAAGCGCGCTTTAAATCACATCGCTCGTTCCCTCCAGAGAAAGAAATGCAAATATAGCAAAAGTTTCTTCGAGTGCACCCTTACAAAAAACAGCTTTTGCTTTTTGCTCTGTAACGTTATGTAAACGCAAAAATGTACAATTTTCACAGAAGCAAATTATTTGACACTACGTCAGGAACGCGTGCATATGTCGTGTCGTTCTACATAGATCATTAATCTATCTGAGAAGAATGCCGGATTGGCAGTGTTATTATTTATGACCGACCAATGAAAGCGAAAATAGATACTTTCTATGGCGAATCGTAAAACTCAATGATCTTTGCACTACGACGAAAGGTTCGCGTTCTTAGAATATTTAGTTGCATTTTCTGGTAAAAGTATAACTTTCGGTGTTTTGTTTTTGTCTTTTGTCACCTTAAGTTTCTATATAGATCGTTAGTTTCTCTTACCTTCCGGTAATTAAACGGAAACATTGCACAAATAATCCACAAAAATAAAAATTTTTTAAAAGAAGTTTTCTAAAAAATATTAAAAATTTTTTTTCTGCTTGTATCATTTATGTTCGGATAAACAATTATATATTATTTACAAAAAATTGTTTAACTCGTACGACTGTTGTTTTCACTTGTTGTTAGTCGTATCGAGAGAGAACTCACACTTTCGTGTTGCCACTATGCGTTTGTGCGTGTGTTGTTTGATTCGTACCGATATGATCGGTACTTTCCTCCACAACGAATTGAATAATTCGATCGAATTTCTCGGATCAGTAACAGTGAAACCGAAACCGGTGTAAAAGTATATTCTCCACATGTCTAGCCTTCTTGAAGCTGCACGGAACTTTCCCGCTTTGGCAGCGGGATTGTATACATCACTTAACCGTATATTTATAAACTTCTCGAAACTTTCTTCTGATATTTGCCGGAAACAACAACCGGAAAAACCCTTCGTCACCCGTGTATAGCAACAGTTTTACTCGTTCATTTTATCGCTTTCATTTTTCTAACGCTTAGATCAGAGCAAAGTAAAAAGCGCGTCACGCAGAGCAGTAGGTACGTTTTTACTATTTTAATATTTTGCAGTTGTAAATAATAAGAATATTATTTCTAAACAAATATATGCAAATGAGATACAGCCACAACGCACGGAACAATTTAAGTGAAATCGCAACATACGCTACTTTAGGTATTTATTACGCGAGCTACAATCATTTATTTCGTAAAAGTTTGCACTCGCCGTAAAGAAAAGCATAAAGTGATATAAGAGTGTCACGTACTAGTATTGTATGTACGCGCGCGTATCTACATTAACTATATTTCATGTAACTGGAAAATGTTTTGCTAAAAAAAAACCAAGACACATCGCAGTTTAAAGTATCTTTTTTTTCTTGTTATAATGTACTTACTGATTTATTAAGCAATATTGAATATATCGCAATGCCTAAGTGAAAAATAAGACCGATTTGTATAAAATAGAAGATGGTTTACATATAATTTAACGGTATGTATTGCACATTCATGTTTACCTTGTTAATGAATGCTTTTTATAGTAAATTAAAGCAACAGACACTTCTGTTCATAATTATACTCACGGTCAATGTTGCCGAGAGATCGTTGTTTTGTACAAATCAATTACATGTCAATCTCGTCTCGATAATTACGACGCGGCGAAAGTGAACGTGACTGGAATTAATCGGGCGACAAAAACACAGACACTTCAATGAATGACTCAGACAGTAACGTGTATTGAATGTATTTTATATCGCAACAAGTTGATTGCCAGAACTGATTAAATTTGAGTATTTCTGATCTACTTTACACAAACGTATTATTATTGTTTCTCGAGTGTTGAATTGATAATAGTTACAAGTAATTATAAATAAGAAATTAAGCAATTATATATGTACATTGAATTTCTTTTCGAATCATTATTTCAAATTGGTTCAATTAATTTTTTGAAATAAAATAATTGAACTTGGCTATCGGAATATAATCGGGAAAAAAGTATTATCAAACAACAATTATATTTATTTCACAGCGTTACAATATCTCTCGGCAACATCATGCACTAAGATGAAAGGGATTCTGTCGGTACGTACTCAGCGCAGTCTACGTACATGTTACGGAGATGGCGTTATATGTACTGTTTTCATACATGTGTGTTGAAAAAAATTCAGTACAAAGTAAATATATTTTTTTTAACAGAGAAAAAACAGACAGAAAAAAAAAGAGAGGGAAGACAATATAACAAAAATAACTTAACTATGTTATTATCTAATAGTATGTATATAAAAATGCTTATATAAATCCTATCTGTTAATCACATTCTATTTTGGAATCAATTCGGCAAGAACAGGTCAAACTACGAAGCCTCATCAGCGCTATTTTATTACAACTTTTGTATATTGAATGACTTATTCTTCCGAATGACTGTATTCCTTAGAATTGACGTTTTCAGTTTCATATTTCTTGTGCTCGTCTATTGGCACCGCGACCGGTACTTTAACCGGATATGGAACCGGCTTTTCAATGTGATACTCGACCGGCTTGGTCACGTGAATCGGTATCGGCCTCTCGACCGGTATCTTTACCGGCACCGGTACGAATTTCTCTACGGTGTACGGTATCTTTTTTACGATCGGATACGGTACTGGTACCGGAACCTTTACTTTAAACGGTACCGGCTTGTCCACCGGAACCGGTACTAACCTTTCCACCTTAACTTTGACGGGTATCGGTATCGGTTTCTCGACAGGATACGGAATTGGTTTAGCGACCGGTACCGGATATGGTTTGGGTACCGGAACAGGTACTGGTTTGTCTACTGTAATCTTTACAGGATAATGAACGATTTTTTCGACCGGATAGGGTTGAGGTACGTGTACTGGAACTTTTACCGGCACAGGAATCTTTCGTTCTATAGGGAACGGATTTAGTACTGGGATTTTCACCTCGTAATGTATCTTTCGTTCAACTGGATACGGTTTCGGTACGTACACCTTGACAGGAACAGGACGATCTATCGGTACTTGAACCGGATACGGAATTTCTTTTACAACTGGTACTGGTTTCGGTATCTTAACAGGTACTTTTACGATAACCCTCTTCAAATACGGTATTTTCTTTTCAATCGCGTACGGTTGCGGAACCGGTACTTTTACCGGATATAATATTTTCTTCACTACAGGATATCGAATGGTCTTCTCTACAGGATATGGTACCGCAATTTTCTTAATAATTATCACGGTTTTACGTTTATCTTCGTGCGTGTCTTGGAGACTAAATACTTGATCGTGCAAGCTTTGTCCACTTTCTTTTCCTCCTTCGCTATCCGATTTATCATCGTAACTTTTTTGTAAATTATACTTATCTCCTTCAATTCTAACATGTTTAATATTAGATCCTAAAACTGATAATATTAAGTTATTATTTTGTTTAAAAGGAACTGCGTGTCTCGTTTATATTAGCAGATAATAACAATTACATAAATTTAAATCGGAAAAGACAAAGGTAAAATATATGAGATCAATAGTAAAATATTAACTCAAAAATATTAGTTTACTAGAATGTTTTTTTTTTAATCACAAAATTATGTCAAACATACTGAAATACTCACATGCATTATCTTTGAACTCATTTTGTTCGATTTTGTGTACTTTCATATCCTTTACACGAGCTCTTTCCGAGATATAATTGGCTCTATTTTGCCTTATATGGAGAGGCATAATTTGATGAAGATATCGTGCTGTGGGGAGGTGATCATACATATATACATGTTTCTTATAATTGGTGCGAAGCGGAACGCTCGTAACAGTGACCATAAAAAACGATAATAAAACAATTGTATGTCCCTGGAAATAAAAGTCAAATAATTTTCTAAATTTCTTCCACACATTATTGCACAACAAACTCAAAACTATTCTTAATATTTTTAATAATTCGTATTATATAATAATTTGTATTTATATAATCATATATTTTGAGAGAAAGATTAAAAAGTACAATATAAAAACTTTTTTCCAAATCGAAATATTTGTAGTGTAAAATTTTTTACTGCACTATACGAAACAGAAAAACTTTTTTATTTTAACATACATGTGTAACACACAAACATTTTAACACTAACAGTGACACTTTTAGTTTAATTTTTCACACTTGTTCACACTATATTAAATAATGTTTTCAACAGAACATACCGCGTATGCCATTTTGAATGAGATAATAGAAGAATCTCTTGAAAAAAATCCGCGAACACCTTGCTCGAGTTAAGATTAAACAGATCAGTCGCACACTTTTACCATCTTATATATGTAGTTTCTACGAACGTGTTACTGATCTGGAGGCTTAACACGCGATGGACTTCTTCAAGAGGGGATGGTCACTTTCGCGATTTTCATTATACGCGCATGACGAGAGTGAAACTGTCCTTTTTTTTTCTAAAGAAAATCAACAGTCATCTGAAAAAACACTAGCACGCACCGGTTTTAATAGATTTGCCCGTAATGGAAGCGCAACATTTGTTGTCTCGGTGGCAAGAATCGCTCGCTTCTTTTACGGATTGTCGGCATTTTCTCAGACCAATTTTCTTAATCATGAGCTTGAAATGATAACACGCGCGTTATAAATACTCTGTTTTCACGTACAAATAAATACATATGTTATCAGAAGAAAACTATAAATAAATAGAATATAAATGAATAGAAACAATAAAAAAAAATAATATATAGTTTATAGAAAGTTGAATAAACTTTGATTGCTTCCTTTTAATAATATTATTCGCTTAAACTTAATAACAATTTATTATTAAGTGCTTACTTATATAGTTAATAAGTGATAAAATCTTTATCTGCCGGAAAGATAACCGGTTCTGTGAAACTATCAATTTAAATCTGGCAAACTAGATTTTGCCGTTACGCATCGTCGTTTCGTCAAGATAAGATCGTAAGCAGAAAGTGAAAAGTCCGACCGTTTTATGCGAGAGTGCGGAAATTCTCATAGATGGACGATATAATAATCCATTACTTGTCGTCGCTAAAAATGTTTTTTTTTTTTTATGCTTTTCCAAAACTCGTAGATTCAATAATACTCTGCGATAAATACATAAATTAAGGAAACAGAGTGAGTTTCACTATCGTAATACACATCGGTTAATACGAAATTACATAAACATTTCCTATCGATATCGGCGCGTTATACAATATCAAATTAAATTACCCTTACATCTAAAAGTACTCTCAAGTTATCTAATATCCATCTATTGATATTATAATAAGTGACTTATATAAACGTTGTTTCATACTTTTTGCTTATTGCATATCGAACCAGCGAAGCTGATATTTATATATAGCAGATATATGCATGCTCTCTCTATTCGAAACGATATTCTTTTATTTTAATACATTCCGAAATACAAGATCGTGTATAATCGAGTTAACGTATGATGATTTTCCAACGCAGTCACGAGGAGAAAACAATGCTTAAGTTATTTCGCATGGTCGTTTTGCATGAATCGTGCACGCGATTTTTACTGCGGATCACCGATCTTCATCGTCTTTCAACGCGCTTGCGTGTCAGTGATTTAACGCTCGACAAGCAAGCGTATTGTTGTAGTAATTAACTGTACGATCCACACGTCGTTACCTGCAATCTCTCATGAATGTTCAACAATTTTTCGTGATGAATCTCGTACGTGGAGAGAGTCTATCATTCTATCAGATCTTCTGTCGAAGACGTGCAAGGTGAAACGAAACACGAAAAAAAATTATTCCTATTAGTAACCGTTTAACATATCAAACTCTCGAGAATTTGATTTGATTGATATTTTGCGCAGTGGAAACGTATTAAGGCTGTTCTAAATGATTTTTTTTCTCTCTCTCACACATATAGAGAGACTTCTTCGTGTTTTGAACGAGGAAGTCGAGAGCGGAAGCACGAACGGTGCGCCTTGAAAATGCCTCTCATTTCCGGATATTTAAATTATGGTATAAATGAGAAAAAGATGCGCTGAGTGATAAACATGAGAGAACGATATTTTCATATATATATATATATATATATATATATATATATATACACACACACACGAATGTAAATATAAACGTACGAAACGTTACTACATTAATTTACTGACATGCCTGAGCTTAGAGAATATGGCTTTTAAATTATAATGTCGAACATAGCGAAGATTATGTACGTAATGTTCTTCTCTCACACACAGTATTTTGAAACAAAATTATATAGTATAAATATGTGTTTGGATTAACAATAATGCATGTTTTTAATTGTACTTTGTCGAGTTCGAACATTTAACTTTCTAGACTTATGATCGCTTACATCACTAGTTTAAATTTCTTTCTAACAGAATAAATTTGAGAATCGTTATTGATATACGTGATATTATTATACTTTCTCTGTAGAATATATACATGATGATATATACATATATGTATATCATCAAAGAGAAGACTGAAAGCGGCCAGGCTTAAGAGAGAATGTGTAATCGCTTTTCCGCCCTGTAAGCTAACGCAATGTCCATGGGTAGTGCACAATGGCAAATACGTAGCCATATCCACGAACGATTTGTCGGTACGTACGTTATGTTCAAACGTGGTTCTATTTTGTGCTATTTCCACAATCGTGCGGTTTTTACATTGTGTCAGTTAACTCATATTAATAATTATTAGAAATATGTAATGCATCTTGATGTGTTTTATTATTATTCAATAATATTATGTACTTTTTCTAAAACTGTAAATTTTGAGAAAGCATGAGAAAAAACAACACGAGACTAAAACTATGTGATTTTACTTTAGTCACGTGTTGGCTTTTCTCTCCTCTCTGTCACGTGATGTTACTTTAGTCACGTTTTTTAAGACACGTGACTAAAATAAAATCACGTGACTTTAATCACGTGTTGATTTTCCTCTCTTTCTTGTCACGTGACGTTACTTTAGTCACGTTTTAAAAGACACGTGACTAAAGTAAAGTCACGTTGCTTTAGTCTCGTTTTGTTTTTTCTCATGCTTTGTCAAGATTTAGTCTTGAAAAAAGTACATAATATTATTGATAATAATAAAACACATCAAGATGCATTACATATTTTTATTAATTATTAATATAAGTTAACTGACACAATTTAAAAACCGCACGGTTGTGAACATAGCACGGAATAGAACCATGTTCACATTTGAATACAATGTACGTACCGACAAGTCGTTTGTGGACATGGCTACGTAGTTGCTTTTGTGCATCATCCATGAACATTGCACTAGCTTACAAGGCGAAAAAGCGATTGCACATTCTCTTATAGGCCTGGCCGCTCTCAGTCTTCTCTCTGATATCATATATTTTCTATAAACAAATATTGTTAGTATCTTTAATAGACTGACTTTTGCTCCTCTCGAGAAGGAGCGCCATATAAGCAAAGAAGAAGAAGAATGTTAGTATCTTTTGATGAGTTTTTTTATCATCATGTGATAAAGCAAATGGATACAAGGTAAATATTTTCTGTTGAGTATAGCTTGTATTCAGTGTACGAGTCTTTCCAATGATGGCGACACTTTTACTTCCCGTTTCTTTACAGTAAATATATATATATTCATGTGCGTATGAAACAATTATTGCAAAAAAAAAAAAACACCGGCCAGGAATCAAACGGATTTTTCGCATTCTGTTGCTTGTACCAATTCAATTATCAAAGTACTTAATTATTTTTTAATGGCCTTATTATTATTTTTCTTTTTGTTGGATTAAACTAATAAAAGCCTCAATTCAATTATTTGCTTAAGATAATTTATTTCCCCAAAATATAAAAATATTCAGAAAAGTATAAACAGTATTATTTTTTGTCTTTAATTACGTTACATTTGAAACGCGGAAATAAATAACGCTACAAACATGTTATTGAGAAACTTACTTCAAACAGAAGAAAATATCGCAAAATGTCACAGAACTGGCTTGAAATTTTCTCGTCAACGCGGTAATTAGATGATAGAAAATTTCATAACAGAATTAACCACGACGGAAATTTCATAACGGTATTAAACACGATGATAAAATAGAAATTATTACATCAATTAATAGAGCGTAAAGCGTAAAAAACGCTTGCTTCTTCAAATTGTCAAATTAGATTGCATATATTCTTTCCCTTACTTTCATTTTTTAACAATACTCAAGTACATTTTTAACTTAGGTTTTTTTATCTTAAATTTTTTATGTTTATTACAAAATCTTCCTACGCTTTCGTTATAATCAAATGTCAAGGTAACTGTTTGTTAAAATAAAATTTTTTTTCAATGTATCTAATTGTAACCACTAAAGTACTTTACCCTAAACAATGCACAATTTATCCCACAAAGCTCTCTGACATTTAAGAAATTACCAGTCTTCTCATCTTACATTCTGGTGTTCGTGAGATCTTGAGATCCTTTCGGTACAAGAAGTTTTAACGAAGAAACAAAAACATCGTTCGCTCCGCGTAATTGTCTTAATAGGCATAGTTTCGCGAGTCAAGGTAAAGAGGTGCGGCGAGATAAATAAAGGAAGCGAAAGGACTAGGTCTAAAAAAAAACGGATGAAAGGGGAAGTAGACTTCGTGGCGGTGTGTGTGATCTTTTGTGATGCGAAGGGACGACTCTTACTTTCAGTCTTGGAGTCGCGTGCACCGATGTAGCGATTGCATAACCGTTTCTCATGCTGGAGACGAGTATGTAAGTCGTTGTGCGCGAGTCAAGTGGCAAAGCCATCGCATATTTCTTACTCCAACTGAAGTGGGTCGTACAGAAATTAGTTGCAAATGCATTGACTTGGTTTCAACGGAAATGGCGCCAGTAAATCTGTTGTAATAGTATGATAGAATTGGGAGCGACAAAGTTGAAAACAAATTGGTAGCTTCCGATTGTCTACGCATTACTTATTGAATTATTCTTTCAAGAAGCATTTTTGCAATTTAAAAAACCAAAATTGAATATTCATCATTTTGTGTGCTTGAAATAAGTGATATTTTACATTAACTGCACAATCTGACAATAATTAAAATATATCCGAATTGATGTTAGAAATACGTAAATTCTACTGTCCGAAGTTCTGTTACAAAGTAATTTTTTCAGTGTTGCGATACTTACATTTCTCTTTAATTACTCTGAATAGCTGACTTCAATCAGATATTAGTAAATTTTCAGTAGCAGTTGGTTTTAAAATCTTTATTATTTTTTCTGTTGTCACGCGAGTGAACATCAAATTTTGATTTCAAAAACAAAATGGAAAGACAGCTTTGATAAGTTGGGAAACTGATCAAATGTTAAATGTATATGTGGTACTGTGTATGGTAATGAAATTTTATCAAGATTAAGTTTTTTGAAAAAATTAAGTTGGTTTTTGAAGATACACACTTATGTAACTACTCTTTACAATAATTTTTATTTTATTTTTCTGTAAAAAAATACATATTTTGCTAATATCGGTACAAAAGTAAGACAAGCGTGTTGCTCTCGAGCGAAGATCGCTGAAGATGAGTACATCCTTACTGGTTTGTTCGTTCTTCTTAACTGGCACACGTCGCCGTGTCGCGATCTTATTACGATCGAACTCGAGGTACAATAATCCGGTATGCGATTGTCTATCGGAGATCGTCCTCGATCCAATCCAGGTACAAAGCGGATATCACGGCGCCGCACGACAAAGTTTTCGGATTGGTATCTTCGTATCTCCTAAAGACAAGATCCTCGCGGTGATTCGTCGTCGTGATGAAGTTTTTTCTCTCAACGACAAACGAAAAACCGAGAACTTGTGAGTTTAATGATGATCATAGCCTAAATCGCTACTCTCGTATCCACTGGAGTAATAGCCGTGTGCGGGTTCATGATGCACGGGTTCGTGATGCACGGGTACAGCCACCGGCACTTTAACTGGGTACGGTACGGGCTTCTCTACTGGATAGGGCACATGTTTTTCAATATGAACGGGATACGGCCTGTCGACTGGAACCTTAACAGGGTAGGGCACATGCTTTTCAACTGGATAAGGTACAGGCCTCTCGACTGGATACGGTTGTGGTACTGGTACCTTGACCGCGACTGGCACAGGCTTTTCGACTGGAACCGGGTACGGTCTGTCAACTGGAACCTTAACGGGGTAGGGCACTGGCTTTTCAACTGGATAAGGTACAGGCTTTTCAATGTGTACTGGGTAGGGCTTGGGAACGGGCACGTGGATGGGACGATCGACTGGGACTTTGACGGGATATGGTACGAGTTTCTCAACTGGGTAGGGTTGCGGTACGTGGACCGGGACTTTCACCGGTACCGGAACTGGCTTTTCGACTGGGTACGGCTGTGGCACTGGTACTTTTACCGGAACGTGAATGTGCTTCTCTACGGGATACGGCTGCGGTACTAAGACCTTGACCGGATAAGGACGATCGACAGGTACGTGAACGGGATAAGGGACCTTCTTCTCCACCGGATATGGCTGGGGCACGTGAACAGGCACCTTTACATAGACCTTGACTGGATAAGGCACGTGCTTCTCAACAGGATACGGTTGTGGCACGGGCACTTTGACGGGGTAGGGCACATGCTTCTCTACGGGGTAAGGTACGTGTTTCTCCACAGGGTAAGGCACGGCGACGTTCTTCACCAAGGTCACGGTCTTCACATGTTCGTGATGACCACCGTCGTATCCTCCGCTTACGTATCCACCATGTCCACCATATCCACCATATCCACCATATCCACTACTCAAATCGAGGCCAACGTGTCCACCGGACCCGATATTGTATCCGCCGTCATAGCCATAACCGTAGCCAAGACCCAGCAGGCCACGCTTCTCTTGCTTCTTCTCGGACTTCTCCACTGATTTCTCTTCGGCTTTCGCGGTCTCCTCCGACAACGCTGTCGCGACCACGAAGGCGGCAATTGCCACGTGAATCTGAAAAAAAAAACCAAATCATATACAGTGTCATCTGTCGTAACGATTCATTTGAATAATCATGTTGTATTTCAATAATGTATTCGGAATGTTGAATCAACGGAAAAACAAGCTCTGAAGGACGCATATCGAAGAAACTAGTTGAAAATATTAAATCCGCGAGGCTGAGCCTTTCTAACTACGCATGTTTCTATTACTACATGTGTGCACGTGCAAAGATCTGTTTTATAAACATGTATAATCAAAAAAGCTTAAAATTCATAAAATGTTCATTCGGAAATACACTTCGCGGGCAAAAACAACTTTGATCGGAAAATAAATGATACTCGCAAGCCGAATCTAACATAATAACGACGTGCGCGCACGAGCGTTTAACAATTCACACCCCCGATTAATTTCAAGACTTTCCGATGTTTCGTTCACTTTTCGCGGGTGTCGTTGTTAAGTTTGTTTCTTCGACGCACGTTCTCGATTTTCAGTGTTTCTCGCTTTTGACGTGTCACCAAGACGAAAAATATCGTAGCAAATCGAAAAAGAACGTACCAGGATTCTCATTTTTCTTCTCACGATATTCCAGGTGCGTCCAGAAGTGAACTGGATGCTGATTGCCGTCGATTCCTGGCCTTATATACGCGGCACACTTTCGCCTTCGCCACCCGGGGCCCGTCGGGTCCGGGGCCCCAAGTCGTATACCCCCACGATACACCTCTTTGTTCAGCTACGACGACGACGGTCCCACCGTCCGAGCGACCACCACTCCCCTTTGAGACAAACGCCTCATTCCCTCTCCTCACACCCTTACCGCAACGTGCGCTTCGTCCCTCTCTTTTCTTCAACAAACGAGTTTCGTTCTGTTCCTCCTTCCTCGAGTGCTTGCGCTCGGGATGTCTTACTTTTTTTCTCACATATCTTTGTCGATACCTTGACTGCGCTTCGGTTTTATACTTTCTCTGAGGCGCGACAGACATACCGATCGCTCGTCGTGACGTCCCTTAGTGTCAGAAGTCGACGACGGAACATTTGATCGTATCCGCGTGCTTTTCCCAGTTGTGGACAAAAACGTAGATTAACAGTACGTGAAAACCCGTCTTCTCGCACGTAACGTTTCGCGAGAGTTCGGGACGGGTCTCAATCCGTTTGCCGGAAAATCATTCCGATACGGAAAAACGCGCGAGCAAATCGTGACACGCATCGTTCTTGGCGACTGTCGCCGGCTGTCACTGTTGACGCGTTCGCGAGAGATTGTAACTCAATGTCAATCAAATAAAGGTTTGCAAAATTGTTGAAAGACAGATTTTTTTCGTTAAGTTTAGTGTTTTGTTTGATGCAAAAATTTAATTTTGCAAATAGCCCGGTACTGTTTTTTTTTTCAAGCCGCTACTAAAGTGAGTTTGAGTTAAATTTTCAACTTTTCCACGCGTATCGTAGTTTCTCGAATTAAAAATGCTTCTTCGGAGAGAAATAGACAAAATACTTCCGGAGGATTTTGTTGCGAACGCAGAAATGCAAATGAAAAAAAAAACGTATTTTATGGGACTCTTGATATGTTCACAAGTCGTGTATTACATTGTCTCTTAATTGTACAACAGACTGATCGATTCCAATGGAATTTTATTAATGCAAATTTTTTTGCTAAGTCCAGTAGCACTTTGTGCGGGGATTGCGAATACATTCTGTGCACATACGTGTGCATACGTAGAAACATCGACGTGCGCCAACCTAGTTTCTCCGCGTCAGCAAATTACACTACTTTCCTACCCTTTCCCTACAATTTCGTGTCCTCCTACAAAAATACATAATTCGCATTCCTGTGTTACGTCGAGCCTTCTCTATGTGTCTTCACAAATTTCTCGCTTTCCTCTCTCGAATGGTCTGCAATAATTTGGTCACAACCATCTTATTTCTACATTTTTCTTAAACATGAGAGTGTCCACTTACATGTGGATTGATATTCAAGATAATTTTCTGTCTGATCTTTGCCGTAATAATACCTTCTTTATAAAAAAAAAAAAAACATGTGTTTAGTCAATTCCAAGTTACCAACTAACTAATACGAAAAAAGATTATTTTTAAGAAGAAACGTGATGGAATATAAGAGCAGAGTACGCAAAAGAATCTTGCAAAGGAATGTAACAAAAACTTTAAATGATTTCAAATTCGATGAAATTTCCTTTTCTAGATAGATATATTCTTTCCGATGAAACCTGTTGTACGACAATCGCACTGACGCAACGTAGCGCTACGTGCAGTTCAAACACGTCATTTTTCGCGGCAATCGACTGCAACGGTCACGCGAATCGCGCGCGATCAACGTCATCATCTATCCTCTCCCTTTCGCCATTACCGTTCCGTTTTCGTCCTCACCTCGGTTGCATACGCGGTTCCCCGACTCTTCGTGTGCCACGTAATAGCGTACGTACGTACATGCACACATACATGCTACATTTGCAGCGCAAGAGAACGCCGTTAGAATTTATCTCTCGCCGATCTCGTGGGTGCACCCCATTGCTCTCTTTCGTGGGACACGCGGTCTCACGTCACGATTCCGCTTCGGTCGATCAAGTTCCGTTTTCCTCCTCTCCATTTCGCTTGCTCCACTACACGGAGAGCCAAAGTATGTCGATGTTTACCGTAGCGCAATTATCCATGAGATATGATCACTTTACTTAAGCGACGCGGCGTCCGTTGATTGGTCACTTCGCTCGGTAAATAATACCGCGTAAATAAATTCACCTGCGAAATCTATAGCACCGGAGTCACAATTTGTTTTTACACATAAGGCGAAAGCGGCGCATGCCACATCCACGGATTTCGTAATGTGGAATATGTAGAGAAAAAAAAAAAAAAAGAATGATTACGTTCATCGTAAAAGTACAATCGCGCGGGCGCGCTTTAATTCATTATGTAATAATGATGAAATTGAAGTTACGAGAGAATTCTCTCGCACATTTCGGGAAAGCTTTAATAGTTTGATATATAAAACTGATTACACTTTCGCGTTTAAGATCTCATTTAAAACTTTATACTCGCCTTTGTGCTTCTCGCTATTAATTAAATTAATAATCAATTCTTCCTCTCCTGATTTTAACGAAGTTTTCGGCAAAGCTGCTGTTTTCCAATTGAAAAAAAAAAAGTGCATCAAAATCGTTGAGGCCGCTATTGCGACTGTCATTCAGGGCGAAGGTCTCGAATCCATCCAAGCGTGTAACCCGATTCAATCGCGTTTTTTCTTTCCCCTTGAATATCAATACAACGCCTTCGTTTGTCTCACCCGCGAATGTCATTGAAATGCTTTATTCGTCTTCATCGACGCTAAAAACATTTTAACGATTCACCTTTTCTGTTTACTATTATGTAGGCAGAAAAGGTTAATCGATAAAATTTGCCAGTGAAATCAGTCGTTAACTGCGAAATCGAGTGCTCACATTCCCGCGCAAAATTTCGCAATGTGGCGAAATTTATATACACGCCGAATTTTACGTCCACACACAAGTGTCCGACCACACATTGGTATCTGAATTCGTTTTTCTACCAAAATCACTTCGCACGTAGTCTTGTGCGTCTATAAAAATTTGTAACTACGTCAAAATTTATGCGCAACTATTCACTTTAGTAGAATTAAAAACATTATAATAGGAATGTTACTATTCATACGTCGGATATAAAAACTTTGATGCTATTCAGTCTCCGTAATGATATTCGCGTATCCGGAACATATATTTTTTGTATTTTTGGAAATTCCCCCTATCCTTCGAAACGTGTTTAGGCTGCGCGATATCACTAAATCTCTCACTAATTCTGTCGATGATTTTACGTGCTCGCTGCGAGACGCGGCTTGTTTATTCAAACGTTGTGCGTTACGACACTTTCGTGAATTCTCAAACGACGACGAATCCGAGTACGCGAGTGTTACACACAGCCGTAGAAAGTATAAGTACCGGAATAACGGTTGTAATTTTTCGAGCCGCGGTTTCCCGAGAGGATCAACGTATTACGTAAAGGTCGTTGCCGATGAAGAATCTTTTGGTGAAACGGCGATATATACATATATACCTCTTTATTGCGCGGTGCGTCTTCTCTTTCTAACCACCTTAAGCCGATCTATGTGGAGGTGACAATAGAATCTCTCTGGCCCGTAAGAAATCGAGGCTCTTCGTAACCTCACCGACCCTATTGACACTGGCCTTGGAGATGCTTCTTCAAGGTTCGCGAAAATTGATATCTCAGACATGACCATTGCTACTTTCACCATCATTCTATTTCGTGTTGTCAGATGTACAATTAATCAAATTAATATCGTGTTATAAATTAAATAAAATACATAATACTTTTCTGAAATATTGTAGCATAATAAACTTTAATTTATATATATGTACATATGTACATTATATTAACTGTATATATTATATACATAAATTGCATAATATATACACAATTTTTAATATTTTTATACACAAACTTTATGACACATTTGCATAATACTTATGGGATAATTAATTTTACTTTTATTCGTGTTTAAAAAATTTTTTTTATGTATCTTTTTTATTTTGTTAACGCACGAAATTCAAGTCATATTGTGTAACATTTTTTTTCAAAATGTTATGCATGTTATGAAATCAGTTAATAAAATAAACTGCCAAGTGCAACAGAAAAAATTTATTGATTTAATAAACGGCCGCGATATATTTTATATATATTTGATGATTACACCTACGTTGTTTCATCTTGGATACAAGGCCAATTTCACGCTTCATTAAGTGTGTCGAGATACGCGTAAAAGGTATGATATAAGTTAATTAGCTTTCTCTCATATTTTACAGAAACTTCGTGGCCGGTGTTCTTCAGTTCCAATTGTATCGCTCATTGTGCCAAGCTGCCGGACAGAGATACGTCGACGATCCAAGGAGACCGTTGCACAGGTGCGACTTTTACAGGAGTCCCGAAGCCGGCCGAATCTTAGGGTAAGTGTATTTTATAAAATACATTCTATGTGTGTTTATATTGAAACATATAGAAAATAAATCGAACACGTCAAACTGAACAAACAGAGAATTTCTGCATCGTCATCTTTTACGCTACGCGTTGCGCAAATCTCTCCGCACACGCTTGTTCAAAAACGGAAGTGCAGGCGTAAAAGCGGCCTTTTGATAATCAGTTTTTAATCAACGTGTATATACTACGTATGTGTATGCGCTTTCGCAATCGTACGTTTCTTACGGCACGAACGCGAACGTCGGCGATCGATCGCGACTGGCGGCTCCGTGTTGAAATCATTCGCGGCAAAACGGAAACGCCCCGGTAGGAAAAACGAACATTTTGCACGTAGTGCTTGCGGATCGCGTCACATTTTTACGATTAAAAAAGCTACGCCGCCGCTGTTTTACGTTTCTATCGAAATGTCCGCCAAGCAGCACGATGGAGGTGCGCAATGGAAGCAGAAAAACATAAGTGCCGGTTTACCGGGTTAAGCGGTGTATTAAAGTCTCGGTAAAGTGCGGGCGGTTAACGTAACTCGACGGTTCGCGAGTATTGAATAAAATTGACGGAGACTTTAATTACATTCAATATAATAAAAAAAATATCAAGATATTAGTTTTTAATTTACATAACACGTACTTGAAATGAAAATGCTTGAAGAATGAATTGAAATATACTCGCTTGTTTTCAAAAAGATAAAACCTAGATTTAAGTTAAGAAAACTGTTGTACTGTAGTCGTAATGTAGGTCAGAAAAAAAACAAATGCAGAATATGACACAATCAGCAAGGGAAAGGAAGCAACAGCAAAAGGAAGGAAATCGCTCAATGATACTCTTTCAGAGAATGATTTCATAAACATTTATTACTCTTCACACAACTCTTTTTTCTCTGGTGTTACAAAAATCAGATTTGTAACATAGCTTTTCTTAAAAAAGCGACGCACGCTCGAAAAATCAGCTGCTGTTACCAAAAAAAAGTTTTATTTTGTACATAATTGTCTCACACTCACCTGTAAATTTCGTGTACTTGACAATTAACGCGGTACTTGACACAAACATTAAATCTCATCTCGTAAATCTGCAGTTTATAATTTCAGACATAACATTAAAGCCGAAACCGCCTTGCCGAACAAGCGCGCAAAAAAGTGGAATTTCCAAAAGCAGTGACAACGGTTGTTTTTATTGCCCACTTCGTTATTCAAAAGTTGCTAATTATATGACGACGTCCCTTTCTAAACGAGATGTTCTTGACTTATTAACCTAGTGCATTATTCTAAAATGTCAGGAATTTGTAAAATCCCAGAGTAAGGCGTGGCCGCAAACTCGATCGATTCTTCATTCCGGTACCTTGCCATTTTGGTCCCGAATCTTTTTAAAATTCAAGGTTATTTATTTCGCAGTTACATTAGTGTGTAGCGGCCACCCGTAGAATTTTCTAGAATGCCAAAAAGTTGTTTTTTTTTTTTTTTTTTTTGGTGCCTCGCCATCGTTTATAATAAATTTAGATACGAGTTACGCAGGTATATTACAGGTATACGTGTATAAATAAAACTTAGCGTGTCCGTATAAAACTGTAGGTTCAACAGAGATACATTTTCGGCCTCTGACTGTGAAATACAAATCATTCGGAATAGAATCTAAAAGCTCGTTAACACAACGTTTGCATATTTTTTTATATCATAACAATAAACTCCGAAGACCAGTTGCAAATTGCAGTTTATTTTGGACCGGATAATATATCAACTTGTGTCTTTGTGTGTGTGTATGTGTGTGTGTGTGATCAATGTTCTTCTCTAAATACGTCTAAACTTCAATTGTGTGTCATCGTTGCGTGTCTATCTCAACTTAAACTTCCCATTTATTCGCTATTGCTCAATTTCCTAACTTATTCACACTGTATAAACCTCTTTCACTTAACTATATTCGGAATATGGTGTACGAAATCTTGACGACCGTTTCGACATTTATAATTGCGTTGTCTTCACAACGTCTGTTCTTGTATGGATATCTTCTTGAATAATCGCTCGCCAGTACATAAGACACTAACAACTGACTGCAGCTTGAATTTATTACGGAGTACAGACAATGTAGCGCCAAGACAATTGTTGGTACTGAGAGAAAGCAGGCTGTGTAACGATCCTAAATTGGCAGGCCTGATTCTACTTTGAAACGTATATTATTAAACGTATAATATTGACTCACATGACGATCTATAAAATTGTTGCACACTGCGTGTGTTCAAAGTGTTTTCCTTATCACATATTTTTTCATTATAATACCACTGATCGTGCTTGCGATATGAAACTTTCCTCCCTTGGGTACGTTACAACATTGTACAATATATCTCTTGTAATAAAATTAAGCAAGCACACAGCTCCTCGCAAACCTTGAGCTACGCAAAATCTTATGTCACGCGGTTGAGAGCAAGTTAATTAAATCGTCAAATTAAAATCTCTCGCATTATAAAAGCGCACGCATTATAATGCGCAAGGTATGCAATAATAATATAGTGAACCACCTTGAAAGCTGTAGTTAAGTAGGCGTTTTTAGCATCGCGTTTACGCGGTCTCGAGGCTGGTTCAGCGACGCGAAAATGTTCGGGATTGCGGTTTTGCGTCGTTGATTACAGGGCGTGCATTATGCACGCGAGCATGATCATGATCCCCACGGGGGTGTTGCAAGATGCATACGGCGCATACGGTAATGACGCTTATTGTTAGATCGTATCGGTTCGCCACGCGTGCAAGACCCGCGGTTTTTGACGGCGCCTTCGTTAGCGCGGAATTGCCGCTTGCTGCACTTGCTCGCGAGAATCCGGCCCGAACAAACCCCCTCGTCTTTGTCCACGTGACACGCGACTAGTCACCGTACATTGAATTCCATTGAGTAGCCAAGCTCGGCCGACGGCCGGGCATTATATCACCGATCGCGTTTATCGATTGGATCGCCTTCCCGGCGGCGATCTTCTTGACGAACGTTATCTGGGTCAACGAGAGGGAAATCTTTATTTGGTTCCGCAATTCACGCCGAGCGCCGTTCATTTGTCCGTCGAGCACGTTGTGTTCGTTCTTGTTATTGTGTTTAACCAACGACGAATATTCCGATGATGACAGAACGATCGTCGGTAGCCGCGTTCTAACGAAGTACGACACGCGACACTTATCTCGCTTAGCGACACCATACACACGTAATCGAGCTGACGCAAAACCTGACGAGAAACCAGAAAAACACGAAACACACGGGCGTTACAATCAGACAGAATGTACAAATCCTAAGTTGATATTAAATCAATTTATCGCTTACGAGATACACCTATTTATATAATATCTATCAATTACGTGATAAACTTTTCACGCAATAATACATATGTGTGTGTATAACATACATATATGTAAAATATGGACTATGTACAGTTGTAATAATCTCGTGAAATAATCAAGTATCACACGTTCACATGTTGTCAACCGACCGATGCGAATAGCTTTCAGCTTTCGCCATAAGAATATTCCCCGTTCAGCCTTCGTGACTCGCGAAATTCTCGAGTAATTAATATGTGTTCGGAGTAATTATGATAAAACTAAATAAAGCGCCTCAGAAAATCGTGAAACGTCCGGAAATGCCCGCATACACATACATGTATGTGATTATCGTTGTAAAAGGAACGAAGTGACATACGCATTTCGCAGAAACGCTCCTGTTTCTTTCGCGATTGCGAAATCGCGCTTGTCGAATAGTTACATAAAATGACAAAAAAGCATTAGGTAAACTATCTTATTCGAACGACGTGATAATTTATGTTAGAAACGTTTCGTTACGATATGTATACCCTATTCCAGAATTGCGAACTTGTTGTTTGCGCACATTTACAGGCGCAACGCGCGCGAACTTTTATGGACGCAAGAAAGTCGCATGATTCTCTTGGCAGACGGAAACTCAATAACAATTGTTCCGCGTTTAAAGATCGCGTCGAGTCCGTAGATCGAAATCTCCTGGCGGACGACCAAGTTGCCGAGAGACTTCCTGTGACACAAAACACTTTTCGCAGATGTCAAAGTACGTTCCCTCGACGGAACAGAATTTTATTGCACGACACGCATAAGTATGAGATAAATATTTTCCATGAGAATCGTTTCTTGTAAAACAAGCAGATAAGAGCAACATCAACACGATGAGCTATTTATCGTCACTTCCAGACAAATCTCTTTTCACGAACATGATGTAGCCGGATTGTGCCTATTTAATCACTATATGTGATAATTAATTCGCGCGTTATTATCTTCTCTCTCAAAACATTCCTCTCCTTTTCTATCAAGCTATTATCATTTTTACTCATTAAAATTTCCAGTGTGACACTCTCGCGCGTTGTGCATTTTATCAGAACGGAAATTCAAACAGAGATCGTTCACCGTGCGAGATCTCGAATTGCGACTTCCTGTAATCGAAGGACGATCTCGGTCTGTCTCGCTTTACGGCGCGTCGACGACCACGACGACGACGCCGCCGCCAACACACCGATTACGAAAGCGGCACACGCTAAAAAAAAAAAAAAAAAAAAAAAAAAAAAAAAAANAAAANAAAAANATGCGTGTGTCACGTAAAGGAACGCACTGTTGCCATACTACGAGAGAGTTGCACGGCGAAGAAACTCGGGAGAGCGTGGTCTGTTACGCGTTACACTTCCGTTTTCACTGCGTAAGATTTGAGGGCGTCGCACGCGGAATCGTTCTCGCGAACAATCACGGTCGATAACACCGCGTGCAATGTAGATATAAATCAATGGGCTATGGACACGTTACATATCGCGTTTTAATCACATAAGAGAGATAAACCGCGATAGCAGCTCAAAATCAAATGCGTGAAAGTATTGTAGTTATGCAAATGTCATTTCGTACAAGAGTTATATAGAGTAAGTAATTAATAAATTTCGCGTAGAAAAAGAATTTTTTTGCATGATATTATTTATTTTGCAATCTCTTAAGTGTAGAGCGCGCGTTTGCAACCGCAAATTCAATTAACATTTTCAAGCAAAATAAATAAACTTTTTTTTATAATCAATAATACGTAACAACATTACGCTACAGTTATATTTATATCAAATGTGTTCAATAACATTAATTAATTAATATTATGTTTTCCGATTCTTTGAATTATATAAAAGATACGTATAATTGTTGACTTGTATACATTCGCCACAGGTTCTGTAATTTGAAACGCAGAAGCAAATTGATACCGCGTCCTTGAATGCGCGTGGACGATCGCGCAGAGAATCGGAAAGGAATCGTTTGAAAGTTCGATTGAAGAACACAGAACAGGGGGGTTTTACGGTACACGACATTTACGCCTCGAATGCAATTGAGTGTAACCACCGCTGTGTAACTGCCTCGTCAGAGTCCTTTGAATGCATGAGATCATTTCTACCTACGGTCGCAAAAAAAAAAACCAAAGTGCAATTTAAATTATGGTCAATGAGAACACTCAATCGCACTCGTCTTAGAGTTTTTATTAGAATACAAGAATTAAAAAAATCATTTCTTTTTTTAAACTTTACTTATGCAACAATTACTGTATTTATTTATATAATTGAACTATTTTATGTGTCTCGAAATAGTTTTGCATTTATTTGTTTTATCATAAAATTTGCGATAAAATTTTAAAATAAAAAAAAGTTTAGAAGTGTAAGAGACATATTTTATGTCTCATTTTTCACACTTTTTAATTGAACAGTTTTGTAACGTGCTTACCTCTCTTCGCATTTTATAATTATACCCTTGTAACTCTGTAATTATAACTCATGATACCTGTTCGAGAATAACCTGCTCAACGAAATATTCGCGTTTACAGCATCTCATATTGCGAAATGCATCACTCGTCGGCAGGAAAGTACCGATTTCGCCTACGTGTTGAACACCGGAAATTATGTGATCGATACAAATTACAGTCAAAGAGAAAGAGAGTGAGACAGAAAAGGAGTGAGGATAGAGAAAGAAAGAAAAAGAAAAAAAAACAAGAGAGAAAGAGAGAGGAAAAGATCGAGCCCCTTACAGGCACATCGAAATGTTTTTACCGGTCGAGAGAGAGAGAATCGTTTCCCACGAAACGGAGCGCGGCGGGTGTCGCGTTCCGATTTCTAAACGAGATAGGAACCGGTAGTGTGATGAGATTGACTTCAACAAAATCACGACGGGAATTTCGCGTAACGCCGGCGCCGCGATTGCGAACGACGGCGCTATCTATCAGTCGGATGTGCACGTATACGACTTTTGATAACGTGAAATTACTGCAGTCGCGCGGTAGACCGTTTGTGCCGTAATCGATGCGCGTTACTGAAACAATTGTGATATATATATATAATAATATTGCCGAGAGATTGATCTCTTTTTCTTTTCTCTTCCGCTCTCGACCTGGTTTTCGCGACCTATATTGAATTTACAAACGAAGATTTCGTCGCGCGACACGAGTGCAACTTATGAAGTAAAAGTATAAAAGATTGCCTCGCAAAGTTTTTTTTTGCGAAAAAACGTACAAAAATCTATCACTCTTATTTATGTTATAACTTTTAATTGCAGTACAAAACACACTTATCCAAACAAGAATATAGCAACAAGAAATAATGCAAGTCGGGAACTAAATCACCGTCGTCGTAAATAAACAGGAAGAGATCTGCGCAACAACATTTTATCTGTATATACAAAACCGATGTTGAACATGCCTTAGTCGAAGTCGAGAGCTAATCTACTTAGCGAGAGTCGAGTCGTCGCGATCCGACGATTATGCATAAAAGAGAAGTTGCGAGAGTTTTTGCTTCAGCGATCGATTTGAGAGGCTGATCGCCGACGGGATATCGCCACTGTTACGTAATCGCCGCGCGTTTAAACAGTGCACCTCGTTGGCACCGTGCACCAGTTCTCAGACCGTGGCATCGCCTTTAAAGCCGATTTAATATCTCAGATCGCGCGGCGTTTTACGGGTGCAGACGATGATCGCTCGATGGCAGTGTCGATGGCCTAATCCCGACTTAATTTGCGATCAATCTTCCAATTTTCGTCGTTTCACATTGTTTCGCTTCTGCAAGTGAGTTCGCATTTTGATTTTTTTTTTGGAAGTTATAAGTGTATGTGTGGGACACAAGGCTGGCGGAAACTCGTCTCTCTTTCACAGAGATAGAGAATTATCTCCGTGCGACGTATAAAAACTAGGTGAAGATAAAAATATCACGGAGATTTTTATAATGTAAAATTATTGCGGAACGTTTATAATAGGGTATGCGGTCTTTTTCATCTCTCCAACGTTCTTTTAATATCTATGACGAGAACGAAAAATACACATCGTTTGAAACAAAGCAAACTAAAGCGAAATGAAACGTGTGATAAATAAATGATTACCTCGAGCGTCTTGAGTGTTTAAATCGCTCATATACTTGTCGATATAATACAACGCGTATAAATTCTCTCTCTTCGTGGATTTTCAAACGGCGCGTGAATAAATTCCAGCGGCAACACATTCCGCTGTCATGACGAAAAATATGTCGGCCGTATTGAAGTCGCGGATTGGAAATGGTTTGTCCGAGTAGATTACGCGGTAGAAGTCATCTATCACAAGCTACACACAACACACGCGCGGATTACTCAAGATAGGTAGCTCGATTACGGGTTCGACGGCGAAGTTATAATAATTGCGTCCTATTACATTCGCCATTATGCATCACGTGTCGTTACTTCGTTACCTCAATCCCGTTCTCGTCTACTGACGAGAGTACACGGGTTATTTCTCTTTGATAGGTATTCGCGCTATCTGTGCGAAATATGCACGTTCAACAATGAAAGAACGTCGAGCCGCAAATAGCACCGCGCGCGTTACTGAATAATATCCACCTGCGAGATTATTCTCTTTATGTAATCGCTTTACCAGATTATACGACGCGCGCGATCTTTTTCCCGACCACCGCGCGAGCCGCGCGGCACACGTTTCCTTCGTATAACAACCGCAAATAGTAACTTCCGTCGTTGAACACAGCAAACACTAAACTCGCACGCGTTTACATACACTAGTCTCATCATGAATGACAGTTTTACTTTCGCGCGTGATTGTTTATTGAAATAATCTTAGATCTCAAAGTAAATACTGATAAGAAAAAAATAATTTCTCTTTTTAATATTTTTTCAAAAATTAAAACCACAAAGATTTTTTTCAAAAAATGGTAAAAAATCCTACATATGTTTCTTGGATAATAAAATTCTGATTATGACCTTAAATGTGTGACTTTATTATTATTTGAAAAAATATTAAAAACTCACGCAACCGATAGATATAAACAAATGGTTTTTTTTTGTTTTTTGGCAGACGATTGATGGAGAAAGGCTCGTCCGTGCCATGGCAGGACACGCTTCGAGAGGCCACTGGCGAGTTTAGATTGGACGGAGCTGCTCTCAGAGAATATTTCCGACCACTGGAGGATTGGTTGAGAACCGAGAATCTGAGAACTAGCGAAGTTGTCGGCTGGTCATACGGTGAGTAATATACCCATGTAGGAATTGCCGACAGACTTCCAGTAATACTACTAGGCCAACAATGGCCCAACCTTTATAGCCGATAATCGATATTGACAATTGGTCCAGTATTGTCCCATTTTTGTATTTTATAACAGCCCAATATTGGCCCGTTTGTTCACCAGTGTTCGGCATTCATATTGGGCCAGTATTGGCAAGAAGACAAGACCAATATTGGCCCGTTTGTTCACCAGTGTTCGGCATTCATATTGGGCCAGTACTGGCAAGAAGACAGGGCCGATATCGGGCCAGTACTGGCAAGAAGACCGGGCCGATATCGGGCCAGTACTGGCAAGAAGACCGGGCCGATATCGGGCCAGTACTGGCAA